CTCCATTCCTCAGAAACTTGGCTAGGCTTACCATGAGGTTTGGGTCTCCTTCTTCTCATCTCTGATCCACTTGCACTTAGAAGTGCTAGAGGACCACCCCCGGATGGTCTCAGGTCACCACCAAGACCCCCAGAGCTAAGGAGGTCAGCTCTGTACAGCCTTACACCCTTCCCCTTCCACCTACCAAGGGACATAGAAATCAGGACAAGGATGGGGCTTACCCAGCGCCTCCTCTCTCTCTGCCAGCATCTTCAAGTATTCCTGGTGGCGCTGAAACCAAAAAGCGAGGGAACATAGTAAGTATGGGCTCTTAGCCCCACCTCAGGTAGGGGTACTGCTTACCTCCTGGGGGAGTGAGGCCATGGTTCACACTGCAAGATCAGGAGACATCAGCCTCCACCCTCCCTGGACCTGGGCCCTCAGAGCTTCTACCTATATAAACTGCTCCCTGGTCCCGCCCACACATCCCATCCCTGCAGCTGCCTTTATTAAGGAAATTCGAGGCCTCAAGTCCCCTGGGAGTTAAAAACCTCCCTCTTATCCTCCTCTTCTGCACCTGTTCCCGGAGCTTCTTCTGCTCTGCCTTCAGTCGCTGCTTAATCTCCTCAATGGCTGCCTTCTTCCGCTCCACCTTCCGCTTGTGGAAGCCTGTCAGGTACTCCCTACAGGAAGAAGCCAGCAAGAGGCAGGAGAGAGTCAGGAGAAAGGGCCTGCTCTAGGAAAAAAACGGCCAATGCTGCACTCAGTACCAAGCATGATGCCACAAACAGACAAATATTAGCTCATTTAGTAATCATAACATGTGCAGTAGGAACCAGTCCCCATTTTACAGATGGGGGCATGAGGCACAGAGCGTCTAGGTTACTTGCCCAAGGTCACAGAGAGTAGAGAGTCTAAGTTTAGGAAAGTAACAAAGATGCTGCCTCTTTCTACTCAGTAGTCTCCAGGGCTCTCAGCTTCAAGCAACAGGGTCAGGTGGTGGGCACACACAGAAAAGATGGTGACCCCTTTCACACGGGCAAATCTCACCAGAGGATTAAGCCACTTCCAGCAGGGCTTTCAGCACCCTCACCCAGACCTCCAGAAACCCTCCACTGGACCAACACCCATATCCCCAGGACACCTGACCCTGAATCCACCTCTATGGTCTGTTGTTTTTTTTTTGAGTTGGAGTCTCACTGTGTCACCCAGACTGGAGTGCAGTGGCCGCTCCCGGCCACCGCAGCCTCGACCTGCTGGGCTCCGGCGATCCTTTCGCCTCAGCCTTTCGAGTAGCCGGAACTACAGGCATGCGCTACCACGCCCGGCAAGTTTTGATTCATTGTGGAGATGAGGTCTCGCCAAGTTGCCCAGGCGGGTCTCGAACCCGCGGGCTCAGGCAATCCACTCACCTCAGCCTCCCAAAGTGCGGGATTACAGGCTGAGCCACCGAACCCGGCTCCAGGGTCTGTGGATGCACGCTGGGAGTTTCCTGACGACGCCCAGCATCTCCTTCCCTTCTCCATCAGATCTCAGTCCCTTCTCATCTCCCTGGTGCCCGCTGCTCTGTTCCCACTTTGTTCCGGAGCCCAGCACTGGGCTTTTCGATGACCCAGTACCATGTGTCATTTATTTGTCCGGCCGGACACTGAGGCTGAACCTCTGGGTTCAGCTTCCTGGCCCGCCGCGGCCGGGCAAACCGCAGGAGCCCAATACACGTCTGTTGGGCGAATGAATGAACTTAAGCCACTCTCGTTTCATTCGCTCATTATTCATCAGCGACCGCTGCGAGCCCACCTGCGAGGCCGGCCGACGGACTGGGAGGGGCTGGGGTGGTCGCAGCCACTGTTCTGAGCCCCGAGCTCCCGGCTGTCTGGCCGCGCCCAGAGACCTAGGCGAGGTGGGATGCCGCGGAGGGAGAAACGACCGCGGGGGATGGGACGTCCGAGGGGAGTTCTCTAGCCACGCCCGGCGGGCGGGGCCGGAAGGGCCGGGCGGGAGCGTGCCCGATCGCGGCTGGCCCCGGCCTTGCCGAAGAGTCCGAGGGGAATCTGGTCCGGCCTTGCCACTCACCGCCGCTTCTCTTCGTCGAAGCTGAGAACGAGCCGAGGCCGCCGGTTGGCACCATCTCGCTTCTTCTTCTTGTTGCGGCCCATGGCGGCAAGGCCTTGGACCGCGCGGCTCCCTCTAACCCGAGGCACTTCCGGGGGTAGCGTCGGCGTCTTCCCGCGCGCACCTCTCGCCCAGGCTCTACAGTTCCGCCGGCCAGGCCCCGCCTTTTAAAGGGGTCGCCCAACATTTTTCCTCCCGGTGTCTCCAGATGCGTAATGTGCTGGTCCCTGTCCCCTTGATGACGCCAAGCCCTACCTTTCCCTCCGGATTAGCTTCAGTGATAGCGAGGCCCCCGAACCTCATTGCCTAGGACCGTGCCTGGCACACAGTAAACGCTCAATATAGAGTTATTTGTGAATGGCCAAAAATTACTGTACTGACTGACCCTCCTTTTGGTTCTAATGCTAGCTTCTTGGTCTCCAGAAGACAGCCAAACTGTCTGGATTTGAATACTGGTCCCCGCCTACAGCTGTGTGGGCCTAGGCGGGGAAAAAGGGCTCTCGCTGTATCTCCATTAAAGTAAGACAGTGGTTCTCAAATTTAGGCGTGCACCTACTCAGCAGATCTGGGGTGGTCCCAGGATATCCTTTTTTTTTTTTTGAGTTGGCATCTCACTCTGTCGCCCAGACTGGAGGGCAGTGGCCGCTCCCGGCCACCACAGCCTCGACCTGCTGGACTCCGGCGATCCTTCCGCCTCACTCAGCCTTCCCAGTAGCCGGAATTACAGGCATGCGCTACCACGCCCGGCTGATTTTTTGATTTATTGTAGAGATGAGGTCTCGCTGCCTAGGCGGGTCTCGAACCCGCAGGCCCAGGCGATCCACTCACCTTAGCCTCCCAAAGGCGCGGGATTACAGGCTGAGCGACCGAGCCCGGCTCAGGATATCCTTTTTTAAAAACATTTTTTTTTTTTTGTACAGATGGGTCTCTAGGGTTGAGAATGCCTGGCCTTAAGAGATCCTCTGACCTCAGCCTCCCAGAGTGTTAGGATTATAGGCGTGAGCCACTGTGCCCAGCCCAGAATTTCCATTTCTAGCAAATTCTTAGGGAATGCTAATGCTGCTGACCCACGGACCAAACTTTGACAACCACCATTGTGAGGAATAAATGAGTTATGTAAAGTTTGTATAACATAATACATACATACACAGCTACCTCTCTCTGTGCCTCAGTTTCCCCAAGGATGGAATGAGCATGTAATAACATCCTCTACTGAAAATGAGGGCATGGGTGTGAAGGCATGCAGTAAAACAACACCTGAAGGTGTTTTTAGTGACTTGGATTGTAGGTCTGAATTCCCCAGTCTTTTTGTGCTGTCAGATTCTGTTCTGAGTGCCAGATTGGCTGGTCCAGCAGGATCAATGGTCATTACAGCCGGGATGATGCCCCTGCGGAGAGAAGCTCTGGAGGCTGCAAGAGCTCAGGGTTGGCTCCTCCCGTGCGGAGGATCAGGAAGGGCTTCCCGGAGAAAGTGACCCCAGAACTGGCTGAGGAGTGGGGTTACCAGAGGAATAACAGACTCTTAGGACTCAACCCTCTGCTTTGACAAATGGGGGGACCAAAGTTCAGAGAGCAGGTAAACACAAATATATTCAGTGCCTAATGTATGCCAGGCCCACAGAGAAGGGAACTGTTATTTTAGAGAGGGGAAGGGACTGTGGCCATGCTGAGACTTGAACCCGGGTCTCTGGCCTCCCTGCCCAGCTCCCTGGGCCACTGGCCTGAGAGATCACCCCCCAAGTAGCTAACAGGCCCCTCTGGAGAACAAGAGGCATTCCTGAATTCTAGAAGGGGCCAGAAACACAGTAGGTGCAGTACTCCATGAAGGTAGAATTCATTCCATAACTCTCCTCTGCTTGCAGATTCCATGTTGGGCGTTAAGAGGGAGTAATTCTCAAAGTGCGGTCCTTACCTTTCCACTCCTGTGGTCCAGTGCCCTGCAGGTGCTGCCTTCACGATAGGGCTTCAGGGTGCTGAACAGCTGCTGCTCTGACCTGCCTAGGCAGAAGTCTACCCTTGAGCCCTACCTCTAGGTAGACGCATCACCCTGGCCACAGTGATACCCCTGGAGATGCCCAGAGAGCCGTCTTCTGCAACTAGCATGCCTCCGCCTGGTTCAGCTCGGTTTACCGGGGCTCCGTTTCCACCCAGAGTTGTTGTAGATTAAAAGTGGAGGTGCTGCCACAGCCTGCTTCTCTTACTACTCCTTCGTGGGCCCCTTCCCTCTTCACGGTCCTTTTTTTTTTTTTTGCATTTTGGAGATCCATTTATTCCTTTTTTTAATTATAAAGATGCTAGCTGGGCTCGGTGGCTCAGCCTGTAATCCCGTGCCTTTGGGAGGCTGAGGTGAGTGGATTGCCTGAGCCCGTGGAGACCTCATCTCTACAATAAATCAAAATGAGCCGGGCGTGGTAGCGCGCGCCTGTAGTTCCAGCGACTTGGAAGGCTGAGGCGGAAGGATAGCTGGAGCCCAGCAGGTCGAGGCCGCGGTGGCCGGGAGCGGCCACTGCACTCCAGTCTGGGTGACAGAGTGAGACTCCAACTCAAAATAAATAAATAAATAAAGATGTTGGGTACAATTCAGGGTTAGGTATACAAATATTGATTATGCAGGTACCCTTGTTGATGACGTATGCCCTTCCCTCCCCTAGTGGTTTCCCTCAACTGCCAATCCCACCTCGCCTCCCCTGACAGGTTCCCATTACTGCCAAACGCTTTCTTGTAGCATTATAATTGCTCAAGGTCTGCATATGAGTGAGAACGTATGGTTCTCTGTTCTTTGTTGCTGTGATAGATCACTGAGCATGATCGCACGGTCCATTCTTTCAGACTCCCTACGCTGAGTGTTCTCAGAGCCCCACATGGATCACCCCTGTTGGTCCTCATGACCTCCCTGCAGGGTGGTGCTGCTTCCATCCCTGTTTTACAGATGAGGAAACAGAGGCTCAGAGAGGGGAATGACTTGACCAAGTCACCCGAAGCCTCTCTCCTGACTGCTGCCCTGTACACAGCATGGTTCTGTCCCCCTAGAGCGTCCAGAGATGGGAACCCGTAAGGAGGGACCTCTGTGAGGCTGGCCCTCTCAGCCCAACCTAGCAGGAGCTGCTGGGACCCAGGGAGGCCACATCCGTGAAAGCCCCCAGTGCGGAATGAGGTCTGCCGCCTCGGGTGAACACTTGCTCCAAACCCTTCCCATGGGGTTTCAGGTTCCCTTGCCCCAGGAAGGAAGACAAGGGACTGGTAACCCCGCTCCAGGGCAGGGGGGTCCCTCAGATTCCCAAAGCTCAATAACCCTTTCCTTCAGCTCATGGTCAAAAACACCCACCACCATTTTTGTCTTGGTTTCTGCTTGAAATGATCTTTACGTTTATTGAGCATCTACTGTGCACCAGGCACAGGAAGAGAGGACTCGCTCTCTTGAGAGAAATGATGATAAAGATAATGATCAAAAAAAGTAAGAGCAACTGTCATTTATTTAGCTCTTTACATTATTATCTCTCTTTTTTTTAGAGACAGCATCTGACTGTTACCCAGGCTGAACTTGATCTCCTGGGCTCAAGTGATCCTCTTGCCTCAGCCTCCTGGGCAGCTGGGACTACAGGCGTCCTTATGATGATCTCTTATGAAGTGTGATCCCCCTCTTACCGAGAAGAAAACTGAGGCTCAGAGAGGTGCAGTCACTTGCCTGAGGTCATACAGGAAAGAAGAGCAGGTGCTGAGGGTAGAGCCCCGGCGGCCTGAGGACAGAACTCTACTAAACTTCTTGGGGGCTGGGCTCGGTGGCTCAGTCTGTAATCCCAGCACTTTGAGAGGCTGAGGCGAGTAGACTGCCTGAGCCCATAGGTTCGAGACCAGCCCAGGCAACTTGACAAGACCTCATCTCTACAATAAATAAAAAATTAGCCGGGCATGTAGCGCACGCCTGTAGTTCCAGCTACTTGGAAGGCTGAGGCGGAAGGATCGCCGGAGCCCAGCAGGTGGAGGCTGCTGTGGCCGGGAGCGGCTACTGTACTCCAGTCTGGGTGAGAGAGAGAGAGAGAGAGAGAGAGACTCCAACTCAAAAAAAAAAAAAAAAAAAAGGGTCGAAGATCTAAACAGACACTTTACCAAAGAAGACATACAGATGGAAAATTTGCATATAAAATGTTTGCAACAACAAAAAAATCAAATAACCCAATTAAAAATAGGCAAAGGACTTGAATAGACATTTCTCTAAAAATGATATACAAGCCGGATGCAGCTTATGCCTGTAATCTCAACACTTTGGGAGGCCGAGGCTAGAGGATTGCCTGAGGCCAGGGGTTCCAGACCAGCCTGGGTAACTTGGTGAGACCTCGTCTCTACAATAAATCTTAAAAATTAGCCAGGCGTAGTGGCACACACCTGTAGCTCCAGCTTCTTGGAAAACTGAGGTAGGATAGCCTGCACCCAGCGGGTCAAGGCTGCAGTGGCCATGAGCGTGTCACTGTACTCCAACCTGGATGATAGAGTAAGACTCCAACAACAACAAAAAGATGATATACAAATGACCAACAAGCACATGACAAGATGCTCAGCATCACTAATCGCTAGAGAAATGCAAATCAAGACTACAATGAGTATCACCTCACACCTATTAGGATGGCTATTATGAAAAAAGAAAAAAGAAAAGTGTTGGTGATGTGGAGAATTTGGAACCCTTGTGCACTGTTGGCAAGACTGGAAAATGATACAACTACTGTGGAAAACAGCAGGGCGGCTCTAAAAATAGAACTATCAGCAATCCCATCGGGTATACATTGGAATTAAAAGCAGGGTCTCAAAGGGATATTTGCATACCCATGTTCATAGCCCCACTATTCCACCATAGCAATGTCCACTGACAAAAGAATGGATAAACAAAATGTGGTACATCCATACAGTTGAACATCTTTCGGCAAAAAAAAAAAAAAAAAAAAGGGGTGAAAGGAACCAACATCTACAGAGCCCCTGCCACGTGTCAGACACCAGGCATTTCTATTATTAGTTCAGCCAATCCCCAGTGGAAGCTATTAGTTCGGCATCAACTCATTCTGACAGATGAGGAAATGAAACTGAGGTTCAGAGACACTGACTAACTGGCCCAAGGGCACACAGCCGTGGTTTCTGTGTTTGCAACACAGGTTTCTGATCCAAGCCCCGTCTCCTTCCTCCACACCCAGTGGCCTCTCTCTTTGTGTGTTCAGGGCTTTCCTCTGCCCGATTGTAGCCCCTGTCCTGGTGTACTGTGGGTACTAGATCAGTGTAGGGAGAGTCAGTGTGGGTGAATGCCAAGGACCAGGGAAAGGCTGCCGAGGGGACGCTTTCTCTGATGCCCGTGTCCAGCAGAGGGCGCCCCATCTGCAGCCTGGCTTCCCAAGCAGTTTCTGGCTGGGTGGCCACTGGGGAGCTCCAGGAGAGCCTGGAGATTGGGTGTGGCTCATGGGCGTTCCCAGCATGTGTGCTCCATCCCCCTTTGTCCTCTGGTGGAGGTGGGCCCCCTCAGATCCCGGGGGACTCACTGAGATGGAACTCATTCACCCAAATGAACGCCATTTTATGGATGTGGAAACTGAGTCTGGGGGTGTGAGGGACCTACTCACAGCCAGTGCCAGCTGTCCTAGACAGTGAGGGTTGCCATGCCCCCCCCCACCCACCCACCGTGCCTCAGGAGACTGTGCCCTGGGGTTTTGGGAAGCCTGATGATGTTCTGATTCTAAGCCTTCAGGAATTTCGGCTCTGTTCCTGTAGCTGTTTTCCAGGCATGTAGTGACCATGGGAAGATCCCACTGCAGCAGCAAGCAGGAAGGAAAAGGTGCCGGGAGTGCATCTCCAGGGCACTCCAGTCATCCTCTCAAGCAGCATCACTTGTGATGGGTGGTGTGATGGGTCTGGGCTAAGCAGTGCTCTCCTAGGTCTCAGAAGGAACATCCTCTTTGGAAATCAGGAGAGGACAGGATCACAGAGACCTCATCTCAGGCGGAGGCACCCACACTCCCCAAGTAAGAGGCTGAGTGCAACAGGAGGCCTGGAGGCTGGACCTCGATTTGCCAGCTTCTGCTGCTTCTCCCTGCAGGGGTCAACATAGCCCCCGGCCCGGCCTCTTCCACTACAGAATCAGAAGCTAGCAGGTGGGTGTCAGGGCCATCACCCAAGCCCATATTACTGTTGGGGCGGGGGACTTGCCCAGGACCACAGGGCTGGCAGCTTCCAGACTAGCCTCTTAGTTACCCTCACGCCCAAGCAAAGGAGGGTACATGGCTAGGCACCACAAAACCCAGGATGTCTGGGGAGCCCCCGCAGGTTCAGCTGGACTTGGTACAGACCCGGGAGTTGTTTCATCACTCAAACAGAGCCCATTTCCTCCTCTTCAAATTGGAATAATAAAATTTCAGAAGTTAGTGCAGGGAGCCAGGACCACTTGGGCCCAGGAGTTCAAGGCTGGAGTGTGCTTTAATCACGCCTGTGACTAGCCACGGCACCCCAGCCCGGGCAACATAATGAGATCCCATCTCCTTAAAAAAAAAAAAAAAAAAAAAAGTAGTGGAGGAGGGACAGGAAACCACTATCCACTGAGCATTTACTAAGTGCCAGGTACTGAACTTGGCCTTTTTTATACACCCCATTTAATCTTCACACAATCCCACATAGGCTACCCACTATTATTCCCTTGAACATATTAGTAAACTGAGACTCAGAGAGGTCAGTTAACATGCACAAGCCCACAGAGCTGGCAGCTCCTTATTGTCTGACTCCAAATCTCTTTTAAGCTCATGAAGGCAAAGGAGAGGGGTTACTCTTCCCTCCACCCCTCTCTCTTCTTCCTGGGTCTGTCCTTGCCTCCTTCCTCCTTGGTTTCATTTATACATCTCTGTGAGCTGGAATCCACTGGATAGAACAGTTTAGGGCAGAGACTGGTTTCTACTTGGTGGCCACCAAGCTCCCTACTGTGTGTCAAGCTCTCTCTGCTTGGCCTGGTGGACCAAGAAAATGTCACTGGAACTTAGCAGGTACATATGAAGGAAGTCCAGGGCTGGGGTTGGGGAACCCCTCTTACACGCACACACACACCACGCACACACACAAGGCTATTCAGGGGGCACAGAGGCAGCTGCCTTTATTGGGGGTCATGGGCTGGCTGGCTTCACTCAAAGGCCACGCACTTGATCTTGAAGTCACCGTCAGCTGCCATATAGTTAATGGCCTCCAGGTTGAGGCGGTTGGGGAACTTAAACGAGTATCCGTCTGGCAGTGTGATGGTCAGGTTGGCCTGGTCAAAGGTGATGCACACCTGGGGGTGGAGAAGGGTGGTGAGGTCAGGAGGCCTGTCCTCACATAGCTCTTGCACACACTGGCTCACGGGGGAGGCCGCTGAGGTTCAGATGAGATGGCACTCAGCAGCCATCATACAGCAAAGCGGGGAGGGCGAGCAGAGGGGCCCTGGTCACCGGCCATGACACCCAGCCCCGTCCTTGCCCATCCAGGCCCTGGCATACCTCCACAACACTTCCCGGCTGGAAGGGGAAGGCGGCCTCCCGCTGCTCGGCGCCCCAGGCCCCGCCGTCTTTGCTGTTGCACACGATGGTGTTGGCGTCCCCATGCGCCTCGAAGCGGGGGTTGAAGTGCAGGCACAGGTTGTTGCTGTCTTTGCCCAGATTCAGTACAAAGCTGGGAGCAACGGGTGGGCATGAGGCCACCCCAGCCAGCTCCGGCCCCTCGGACAGGCCAGTCTGTCAGTCAGTCCCCCGTGAGTGCTCCTTGTGGGAGAGTGTAGTGAACAGGGAGACCAGAAACCTGGGTTCCGGTTCTGGCCCTGCCACCTATGTGCTGTGGACCTCGAGCTGGCCCTGCCCCTCTCTCCCCTCAGTGTCCTCATCTGCGAGGCAGCACAAGAAGGATCTTTAAGGGTCTTACTGCGTGGAAGACCCAAGACTCTCACAGACACTGGCGTCCTAGCCTTTTTTTTTTTCCCCGAGTTGAGGTCTCACTCTGTCACCCAGGCTGGAGTGCAGTGGCACGATCACAGCTCACTGCACCTTCAACCTCCTGGCTCAGGCAATCGTTCCGCCTCAGCCTCCCAAGCAGCTGGGATGACAGGTGAGTACCACCACACCTGGCTAATTTTTTCATTTTCTGTAGAGATGAGGTCTCGCTAGGCTGCCCAGACTGGTCTCGAACTCTTGAGCTGAAGTGATCCTCCCACCTTGGCCTCCCAAAGTGCTGGAATTACAGGCATGAGCCACTGCGCCCAGCCTGTCCTAGCCTTTTTTGGGGGGTCAAGGTCGGGAACTCCCTCCAGATGGTGACCTCTGGGAGAGGGAAAGGCAAGTGTCGGTCCTTTGCCCAGCCCTGAGTGGGGGCACACAATAGAGTCCAACGATTGTAGGGGGGATAAACAAACAATAATAATGCATTTGTTGAGTGGAGATATGACAGTCCTCCCCTGAGGGCTTGCTACTAAGAGCCACAGAAGCCTGCGGCTCTTAGTATCAGCTGATCATCTGCGCGGAGCTAGCCAGCACCTCACTTCCTCCGCACAGCCACCCCCTCCCTTCCTTTACTGATGTACAAACTGAGGCTCAGTGAGGCTGGTTGACTGGTCCAGGGTCACATTGTGGCTGAATGAATGATGCGCGAGGAAGGACTGAAGGCGTCGAAGGACTGGGCTGTGGAGGACCTGCGGCTGGGAGGAAGGACCCAGGAGGGCGGCAGAGACACGCCTCTCCTTCTTTCTCCCGGCCCTCCCCAGCCTCGGGCCCCCCCGCGGCCGGAAGCGGGAGGAGGAGGCAAGGTGGAGGAGAGGCCGCAGCTGGTTGAGTTTAGGCAGCTCCAGCGGGGAGGGAGGGGGCGACGATGGTGGG